ACAATCACAATCACAATCACAACAACAGCCGCAACAAGACGAAGTACAAGCACGTGCAGTAATGAGAGTACGAGTAAGAACAGTAGTAATGGTAGTCATAATAGCAATAGTCGTAGTAATAATGACAACACTAGTTATAGTAGTAACAATATTCTGAATGAAACTACTTACAATAAAACTAATGATAATAAGATCGTCTAAGGTACCATCGTGGGCGTCTTCGGAAATCTGATCGGCGGAGTGGTGGCCGACTGCCTGGCCGCCCGCCTGGGCTACCATGGGCGGCCGCTGAGTGCATGGAGCTCGGTCGTGCGGTCGGGGAGACATTTAGCCTTTACAGTAAGACGGACTACTATATAACTCGTGTGTAGGAAAGCAACACATCATCGGACATCAACCTTATGAAACCTTGTAATCTTAAGTGCTTTTATCACGGCTGCTGAAGTTGCTGGAACCACTTGCAGGCCGCGTGCCGAGGTTTGAATTTTACTAGCGCCTAGCCGGAGAACTGCAAAGGTTTCGAGTTCAAACTGCCTTCGCACAGAGAGTTTGAAGTAAGTGATGGGGATGTGTTCGCCAAGGCACAGATTACAGTGGCCATTGGCATCCCCCTGATTTACCTGTGGTTCCTGGGCATCCCGCCTGGATCCCCTGCGAGCACCTTTGGAGACTCAGCCATGCACTGCTGTGTTCCGGCCGTGGGGGTAGTTTGCGAAGAGCACCCCAATGTTGTTCTTGTGCATTTGGGCTCACCCGAGCACATCCTCCTGCCAACAACGCCTGTGACTCGTCTCTTAAGCCCGTGCTTTGGCAAAGCAACGAGGAGTGTACTTCACTATCATCGCTGCCTTTAGCTTGCTTGGCAACTGGGCACAGTCCGGAACCAATTTCCCAATTCTCTCGGATATCGTACCACCGAAGCACCGAAGCTACTTGGCCGCATTCTTTCCGAGGCTTCTGCCACTCATGCCGGCGGTGTGTTTTGAGTTGAACGCTATGTCCAAGCCGAGGCAAAGTCATGGCTTGGGAGTGTGCGCTGGAGAACTCCATTGCCACTTTGATTGGCCCAGTTTTTGTGGCCAAGCTGGCGCTGATGTTTGGCTACACCTTTGGCGACGAAGAGGCCGAGGGTAAGTCCCTTTCGGCGGCTACCGCCCTGGGCCAAGCCATGGCCGCCGATGCCTCAGTGGACCCCATGTAGACCCCACAGTTCGACTTTGTTCAAAGCCCCCGAATCAGGCAACCATCTGCATCCCTTGGCTGGTGACCTTTGCCCTCTACAGCCTGCTTCACAAGTCGTATCCGGCGGACATGCGCCGCTTGAAGGCCAAGAGGGTTGCATGTTGTCTGTGGTTCATACTTGTCGACTCGTCCGGACTCTGCCGTGCAGCAGCGCCGCCAGCCCGACCCACCGCACCAGCACGACCAGCACCACCGGCACCACCAGCGCTTGTAGCACCTCCAAAATGCTCCTCCAGCACTACTTCGTCCTTCACACCCTTCCACCACTACCGCCGCCAATGCCACCACTAACGCGTACCACCACCCACCACCCACCACCGCCGCCACCACCACCGCCGCCACCATCACCACCACGACCACCACCACCACCACCGCCACCACCACCACCAGCCCGCCAATGCGAGCACCCGCGACACCACCGCTACTACCAATGCTGCCACTACTACCACTCCTACCACTACGACTGCTGCGGCCACTCCAGCTCCTACTACTACTCTCACACCTGCTCCAACCCCTTTCACTACAACGACCACTGCGCAGCCTTCCTGCGGAGGCCCAGCTGCAGGCCGAAGAAGCAGAAGCTGAGAAGGAAGGTTCGCACATTTGAGCACCGGAAGACTGAGACAGTTGAGGGCAGATTTCGGCTACAGGGTTTAGGGACGCTTAGGGTTTAGGGTTTCTTACTTTTGATGCAGAATTCGCTCGAAGCTTTTGCGTGCCAGCCCTGCAATCACGCAGGGAGGGTCGGTTTCGTAATTTGAGCATCTTAAAGGGGTGCTGCATGAGCCTTTATCTTGAGCCGTAGCTTACCCTTGAAGGCTGAATACCGGCATTATCCAGGGATCGTTCCGGAGGGCCCATCTCAAAGAAGACAGTCACCTGAGCCAGTCCAGGCACTGCCTGCCGGAGGTAAGCCCCTGACCGAGCTCTGCTGCGTGCGGACAAAAGATCCACATGGCCTTCTTGTCCTGTGACACCGTAGCAGTCTCACAAAGAACAGCGATCATGATCAGATGGTGATGATGCTGACACTGACGCCTGAGGCTGATGAGGGCCGCACGATAAGCACTGGTACCCGAACACTCATCGCCCCAAACATAATCACCAAGAAAAACCAAACCTAGCAAGCAACATCTCATGCAACACAACCAAAAGATGTAACTATACAAGCACCACCACACCGCAACAGACCAACCCACCTGGGCAACCACACAAGCATCAAGGGAGCATCAACCTATAGCATCCCATGGCAACCAGATCGAAACACCTCAACAGTCATTTAGTACAATGGGCGTGGAAGAGCGCTTCCAGCAATTACCATAGTAGCGGCAGCAGTTCCGTGGTCGTGGTCGTGGTAGTTGTGGTGGTCGTAGTTGTAGTAGTAGTATAAGTAGTCGTGGTCGTCGTCGTAGTAGTAGTAGTAGTAGCAGCAGCAGCAGCAGCAGGAGTAGTAGTAGTACTAGTAGTAGTAGTAGTAGTAGTAGTAGTAGCAGTAGCAGTAAAGCGCCGTGAGCGGCTCAAGGGGTGGGAGGGACAACATGGCAGAGGCACTGACATCGCGCGTCCATATCAAAGCATACATTCTGGATTTAGTATCTGATTGCTTCTGGAACGACAGACGGCTCCGATATTCCAGTCAGCTTGCTAGCGCATACTGGACCTCTGCTTCGATCAGTGAGATCATTGCTGACGCTCGTTTCATCCTCACTGAGGCTGATCTGCTGCAGTTACAAGCATTCTGTTTCAGGAATTGGCCTGAGGAATACAATCGACATTTTGGTAATGAGACAGCTCACTCTTCATGAATACCGAGGACTCAGTACCTCCCCCCTGAACCTCAACAGGACTTCCACCTCAGACATCACTACCGGCGAACCACCTGGAAGTCATAGCTCACCCCGGTCCCAAGTCCGGGCATTGGAGAACAAGGACAGCTTGAACCATGTCGACCAACATCCAATGGGCGTGAGGGTTGAGTGCTGCACCTCTGCAGCCTCTGAAGTTGCTTCGGCAACAAACAAAGAGGAGCCGCCGCCAGTACCTGCTATAGTTTTTCCTACACAGGCCATGGTGCGACTGCGGAAGCGGTCGCTACTTCGAGCACTCAAGCGTGCTGCGCAGGAAGGTGTCGCTACTTATCAGGGAAGACAGCTCCGAGTTTGGGGTCTGCCAAGTCCGCCACAGACCGACTGCATTCGTAGCAAGCTCCCCAACCAGGGACCTCGACTCAACATAGTTACCTGGAACTGCGGTGGGTTGTCGCAAGAACTGCAACTGGAAGTGTTCGCGTGGATGCAGCTTAACCCACAAATGGGAGTTTTCGTATTACAGGAGACACATTGGGGTTTTTCAGGTGACTACGTACAGGGCGAATGGTGTGTATGTCACAGTTCTACGGCTAAAGGCCATACTGGTGGCATCTTGATAGCTGCCCGAAAGCAGCTCACGGACATGCGACAGATCCGATGGCGAGAACTAGAGCCTGGCAGGCTTGTCCATTGGCGAGGACCCATTGGCAAGCAGCAGGTTGATATATTGGCAGTGTATCAGCACGCGATGAGCTACTCCACATCGGAAGTCAAAGCAGAGTTGATGAGGAAGAGAAAGAGCCTCTGGAACAAACTTGATTCCTGTGTTGCCTCGTTGCCACTTCGCAGCTCTGTTTTTATAACCGGCGACTTTAACACTTCGCTTGCGGCCCTCCCCCCGGTTTCGGGTTTTGGTTTAGTTCTCGGATCCTCCCAGGAAGAGCTTGTTCAGGAGCGGAATTTCGTGCTTCAGATTTTGCAGAAACATCGCCTCACCGTCCTCAACAGCTGGTCCAAAAAGGCCCCGACTTACCGTCGCCCGAATGGGATCTCGCAAATCGATTTCATTATTGTTCGTCAGAAGCTTGCAGATCGGGTGGCCAAAGAATCCGCACCGATTTCCACTCCAGTTGCTGGCTGGCGCTCAGCTGGACATATGCCGGTGTATGCATCGGTGAGGCTCCACTGGATGCC